GCTGAATATTAAAAAAATATAAATAAAAATAGAAGGCCTAGGTCTAGGCTGGGGGTGGGGTACATTGACACGGCCACAAGGCTACCTCCTCCGCAGGCGTTAAAGGCGGGCGTGAATTTTAAGGCTGGCGCTAGTTGAGGGCGGGAAAAGTTTGCGGGTGGGTAAGGATTAAACGTTCTTCCCTGATCTCAAATTTCACGCCCGCAAATTATTCCCGCCCGCATCGAAAGGCCTGCGGAGGAGGTAGGCCACAAGGTACATTGACACGTCCATTTTGTTCGATTTATGGCAGGCCTCTCTCCCAGAAAATTTTTTTTCAAAACCCATTCGCAGGCTAGAACCCATAGAGAGGCCTGCGGAGGAGGCTAGAAAAAATCCTCTCCGCGCGCAAAATTCTGCCTAATGAAAACCGGCTTTAACATGGACACCTCTCTAATACGGACATCATTTTAATTTCAACAGTTTCCTACGCCCCAGCAAAATGTTCATATACTCCGAAGTTTCGAAGAAAAAAGGAACAATTAACATGAAATGTGATAAGGACGCCGTTCCGGAAATTATCGACATTTCATTGGCTAGTGGACAAAGCGTCGACAAGGTCTCATGTAACTGGGAATGTAGCCAGGAAAACGTTCAAAACATCAATAAAGGTAATGGTGGTCATTGTCAGGTCAAAAGAAATGGTTATCTGAATGACAGTGAAATGACGGTCACGTATAGATGCAGCGAGCGAGCCTCCGAAACGGGACATTGAAGAGTTTGTGCAAGGAAATGGAAATAAAGGACGTGGAAACAGAGGAAATGGGAATGGAGGAAACAGTGAACTCTATATATATATATATCTGGAACGATAACATTCAGTCATTTGATTGCGAAAAAAATGAAGCCTCGATACCAGTCTTTCACGCGTATTGGACGTCAGTCTCAGTCCCTCAAACGTCAGGCTTACGCGGATTGGACGTCAGTTTCATTCCCCCTCTTGCAAACCGTTGCACGGCCAGTATAAATTTGAACCAGCGTTGCCAGCCTTGGGATTTTATCCCAAGATCTTGGGATTTTTTGAAGCGGTTGGGATATTTTTGGGATTTTATTTTGAGAAATGAGACCTTGGGATTTTTCTTGGGATTTTTAAGAAACAGTCAAGAAAAATAATTAAATTTTAC